ATGATGATGATAATAATAATGATACCGTTGTTGATTATGATGATGATGTGATGATGATATTGATGATGATGATGATGATAATGATAATGATAATAATAATGATAATGATAATGATAATAGTAATAATGATAATGATAATAGTAATAATGATAAAGATAATAACAATAATGATAAAGATAATAACAATAATGATGACAATAATCACAGTAATAATGATGATAGCACTAATAATGACAATAACCTTAATATTAGCAGTAGTAGCAATAGGAATAATGATAATGATGATAATAATAATAACAATGAAAATGATAATTATAACAACAACAATATTATCAGATGTAATATTTATAATGATACTTCTAAAATAACGATTATGATGATAACGGTAATAATGATAATAAGAATCATAATATGAATATCACTAATAACAAAAAAGACGGAGAAAGATAAGAATAATGATAATACTACTACTAATTATAACCATTACAATAAAGATGCTAACAATGATAACAAATGAAAATAATTGTCTATTTTCTCACCCATCATTCCTAGTCACACAGCCTAGTTATTTGAGATATTTGCTTGATATGCCACGTTGTCCTGACTACGCTATGTAGGCCTATGTTTATTGTAGATTCAGAAAAAAAGCCCTTCATTATCTTTACTTGTGTTCAGTGAGGAACTGAACGCTTCTCTCTGTTAACACCTAATTGCGGTGCTAACTACCTTGCCTCGCAATTCCACACCACTTCGTCTATTTTTCTTATTAGTTTGTGCAAAATGTAACGGTACTTATTTGTTTGACTGTACACACATTGTACATAAGGTAATAAGTCTTGGCCACACATAAAATATACTTTTTCTCTGTCACGAATGACGTAGATGGCGCTGCTATTCATTACAACGAGCCGGTAAGGACTAGATACAAACACATCTGTTGATTTAATATTAATATAAGACAAAGTGGGTCTGATATTGATGGTGATAGCAATAATGATGATAATGAAAACAGGGATGGTGGCATTTTAAAACATCATTTTAGTGTTAGTGATACGACTAGGAATGGTCGTAATGTTTACAATAATGATAATAATAATGGTGATATGAAAACAAGTAACAGTAATAACAAACATAATAACAGGCGTTTGTTTGTCTGTAAGCTTATCCCAAGGACGGAAATATTGCCTCAAATACTGTTGTAGTCATTCAGAACTCTTCCTGGGTTTGTCACACCCTCGGAAAATAGCGATTTTCCGGATTTCTCATCATAATTTTAGTTAAAGTTATTGTGCGTTCATTCAAAATCAGTACTAGAACAATGGAAAATTATTCCCATAATTTGAATAATGATAATGCGTAGGGAAAGTGCACTCAGAAGTACCCACAAATTTATTCCATGCATCCATGCCATGATCACTATGATCATGAGAATATTAATGAGATAGACAGTAATAAACAGAATAACAATAGTAATGACAAGGATACATTTTGGAACATCATTACTTCAATGCACCAAATAAGGGCTTAAACACACATACCATTGTTTTCAATATTAGTTGTTTTTTCTGTGCTTCATAATATCATATTAATTGCCACTGTAACTAAAATCCGTAATTCATTTCACTTACAATTTCTACTTCATTTACATAGAACTCGTATGAATTTCTGTGACAGGAATGAAAACTTCCTATAGAATATCTTAGGTACACGATCCAATTTGAGAAGATAAAACAATGTATATCATGCCGGTTCTATTTCTTTCGTTGACATACGCGTTACAAAACGGCATTGAAGTGTGCTTTTTAGAATAGACGACAGTCGTGGTTCACAGTGGTTGACGCGTCAACATCGATTTCGTACAGTACCTGGCTTATTCTGTTGATATTTGCCTTCAGTAAACTGGCAATTCAATGTGTTATATAGATACGGGAGGGGCATGATTTTACGCACATATTGATGTATATACACACGTATAAACACACACATACACTCTCTTTCACTCTCATATATCTCGAGAGAGAGATATGTATATAGTGAATAGATCGATAAATATGTATATAATCATTTATACGCTCTTGCGTCTGGCCGGTGCATGGGACAGCCATACATCACACTGACACTGATGAGCATTTCCGTCCGCACTTCCCCTAGTCCACCTGGCTGAAAAAAAATAAAGCTTAGTCACCAATGCATATTTCCCGTTTGCGCTCACCCATAACGCAGATATTTGCCACTACGTAAGGTGGTTACGGAGAGATTAATGGGCAAATCTTTTTTTTCTGAAATTGGATTTATAATTTTGATCGTAAACTAGTCATTTTTTACATATGGAAGTAAGCCACATAAATGCTACGACTGAAGATACACACACACACACACACAGTCACAAATACTCATATCTTCCTATAATAATGAAGTAGTAAAATGTTTTAATTTTAGCCAGGCATTTCTTATATATATTTATATCTAAATATTCATATACCGATATTCGTCCATATTA